ATAGGTAAAGATCCTTTCTTTGAGTTAGACATGCTAAATCGATCAAGGATTTTATCTATATATGTACTTTGATTTAGACCTATTAACTTTCTTGATCTATCTCGGTAGATTCTTATGCCAAGGACATAACTAGCATCCCCTAAGTCTTTCATGGAGAAGTTCTCGCTCAACCACGTCTTTACAGAAGTGAGAGCGGGAACATCATTACCCATTAACAATATGTCATCGACATACAAGTTTAGGAATACTATTACACTCCCACTTTCCTTCTTGTATACACAAGATTCGTCAGAGTTCTTCTTGAAACCAAAACTGGAAATGGTTTCGTCGAAACGTATGTACCAACTCCGAGATGCTTGTTTTAATCCGTAGATTGAACGTTGCAGCTTACAAACTTTGGCAGACTGACCAACAATTTGAAAACCGTCAGGCTGTGTCATGAAGACATCCTCTTTGAGGTTCCCATTAAGGAAAGCCGTTTTGACGTCCATCTGCCAAATTTCATAATCGTAATAGGCTGCAATCACAAGCATTATCCGAATGGATTTCAGCATCACAACTGGAGACAAAGGTTTTATCATAGTCAATTCCGTGGATTTGTCTATAACCTTTTGCTACCAATCTAGCGTTGAAGGTATGAACCTTTCCGTCTACGTCTGTCTTCTTTTTGAAGACCCACTTGCATCCAATGGGTTTACCCCTTCGGGCGCATAAACCAAGGTCCAGACTTGGTTTGTGTATATAGACTCCATTTCAGATTTCATGGCTTCGAGCCATAGATCGGATTCGGGGCATGTAATTGCCTCGAGGTAGGTCTCTGGTTCGCCTTGATCTACCAACAAGACGTCACCTTCATCAGACATGAGAAATCCATATCTGACCGGAGGATTACGTATCCGGTCTGACCTACGTGGTATATCTTGAGCAATTTGAGATTCAATTGCTTGATCTCTTTGCTCAGGTTCCAACACTATCGGGACTTCTTCTTGTGGTTCTCGAATTTCTTTGAGGTCTACCTTTCTCCCACTAGTGATAGCAGAAAGAAACTCCTTCTCAAGGAAGGTTCCATTCCGAGCAACAAAGATTTTGTTATCGGATGGATGATAGAACTCATACCCTCTAGTTTCCTTGGGGTATCCCACAAATATTACTTTATCAGATTTAGGCTCCAACTTACTAGACGTCATGAGACGTTTTACATAAGCTTCACAGTCCCAAATCTTAAAGTACGAGAAACTCGGTTTTCTCCCACGCCATAGTTCATATGGTGTGCTCTCGACAGCTTTAGATGGAACTCTGTTGAGTGTGTGCGCTGCTGTTTTCAATGCATATTCCCAAAATTATTCTGGCAATGTTGTCAGACTAATCATGCTCCGAACCATGTCTAGCAAAGTCCGATTTCTCCTCTCAGACACTCCATTTAACTGAGGTGTCCCTGGAGGAGTGAGTTGGGATAAAATCTCATGCTCTTTCAGATAGTCATCGAACACCAGGCTTAAGTATTCACCTCCTCGATCCGAGCGGAGGGTCTTAATACTTTTGCCTAATTGTTTTTCTACTTCGTTCTTGAATTCTTTGAATTTGTCAAAGCATTCCAATTTGTGTTTCATGAGATACACATATCCATATCTACTAAGGTCGTCAGTAAATGTAACGAAGTAAGAATAACCACCTCTAGCTACAGTGCTAATTGGACCACACACATCGGAGTGTATGAGGCCCAATAAGTCACTCGCCCTTTCACCGTGACCAGTGAATGGAGCCTTTGTCATTTTACCAAGTAAACAAGATTTACATACATCATATGACTGGAAGTCAAATGAATCAAGTACACC